TATATTCAAATCAGACAGGCGTTTTTAATATTTATAAAACAGGGATAAGCGTTCCATCTCCTTGTAATATAAGTGCTAGTTTATGGTCTATAAGACTCAAATGTGTGGATAAAACGTATGTTATGAGCTTCATCATCGGTATGATAAGATAAAACTTATTTTTTGTCTGGATCTAGGAGATCTTCTATTCTCTTGCTCTTAATATAATAAAAATTCGACTAGGATTAGTGCTATCTTAATAATAAATAAAATATCAAGAAAATTAATATTGTACTTCAATGATCCTCGTGTATTACAAGAGTGGTTAGGCAAGTAAACTAAAAGACCTGGATACTCATTTTAAAAAACATGTCTTTACTGTGATCAGTCTGCTCAGGAACGACCGAAGATCGTGAATCGCCCAAACAAAGGGAATTTATAATTTCTGAATCGCCAGCAGCCATAGACGGAGTGTCAAAAGATTCTGGTCTATAATTCACCAAGCTGAAAGTAGTCGGCACAATATCCTGCGAGACTTCCGCGACCGTCACATTGGGGTAAAACGATATCTGCAAGGCAAAGCAGATGAAAAATTAAGAGGCTAATTAGCTTATACTATCCAAGAGAGTAAAAGGATAGAGACAAAAACCCATGGTGGTCGGATTATCGCCGAACCATAGCATGTTCGTTTTCGTGTCTAGATTACAAATTCGCGATATCATTTCTTCTCTAGCTCTTCCCTGGAGGAAAAGAGCCGAGTAAAAAGGAAAATATTGTAAGGTGGAGCGTAACATACCTTCCCATTATTGGTATCTGACATATCCTTCGACGAGTAAGACGATGATGGCAGCTCATGTGCAGAAGGAAGTGGTGTTGATAAGTTCGAAGGTTTATCATCTGCCTCATGCTGAGAGATAAGGCCAACGTCACCCAACACCGATTGGGAACAAGTTGGCTCAATTTTAGCTAAACCTAAGCTCAAGTTGAGCCGCTGGCTTGCAAGTCGGCGAGGGTCGACACCTGTGCACGAGTAAACTGACTCACGGAAATGCTCAGCGCAGGCAAAGTAGAGGTTACCGTCGTAGCGAAACACCTTAAAACCAGTGAAACCACGAGACTACACAAGCAAAATGATTAGGAAAAAATATATAGTAAAGGAGCACTTATAAAAATTAGCATATTATAATCAAAACGATAAAAAGATTATTAAAGACTATCTAAAAGACTAAGATGGTGTGGTCTTTTGTATCGTCGCGGTCTCTTTTCGTTATATAGAAGTTGGTGGGCCCTGTCTTCGCAACTTGAACACATAAACAGGAAGATCTTGAGCAGCGCACCTTGTCCGGAGCCCATAGTATGCATGATGATTTTCATAGTTGGACCATCGATTTAGTACACTTTTAGACGTTTCGTTGGTATCGTAGTCGGCATCGCCAGTGAGCCTTGTATTTCTTAACAAAACTGAACAACTCGTCAAAAAGAATAGTGGAGTTGATATTTTGACCAATTGTCTGCTAAATAACTATGGTATCTCTTCTTCTGTCCTGGGATATTTATATCTTCTATATCCTCGATCACCCCTTCAATATCATAATTACTTGTCTATTAATCTAAACCCATTCACACTCCCAGCTGGTTCCAACATACCCCCCCTTTGCCGGAAGTGTTGCTCCAAGGCCGCGGCTTAATCTGCAATCCTCTCTCTTCGAGTCTCGTCAGTTTCCCTCTTTCTCCGAAAGAATCTTCCCTTATCTGCCTGTTTTAGTGATTTCACTCTATCGCTACCATTGTATTCGTACAACTCAAGGCGGTATGTTCTACACTTTGTCTCAAGCCTTCGATAAGAAGTATCGGAAACCAA